AAAATTTTTCCCAATATCCAGCCTGAACCTCCCCTGGCGCAACTTGAGGCCATTTCCTCTTGTCCTGTCGCCTGTGACTTGAGAAAAGAGACCGACCCCCATCTCTCTACACCCTCCTTTCAGGGAGTTGGAGAGAGCAAGGAGGTCTCCCCTCAGCCTCCTCTTCTCCAGGCTGAAAGAGGTGGCGTGAGGAGGGTTAGAGATGGCTCCATTCCACCGCCACCCCGAGCGGTGCCGGCCCCGCACCGCGCCGTCTGCCAGAAGGGGAGCTGGAATTCAGCAGCAGAGCAACGGGATCCACCTTCTCAGGTGGTCTTTAAGATGTCACCTTCGAGCAGTGCTCAAAGGTCGAGAGCACTGAGAGCTGCAGAAACTCTCCACACGAGGACACTTCCCACGGGGAGTCAGGCCCCTGCAGCAACCCAGGTCTCCCCAGCAGTGAAACCAAAACCCCTCCACCTCACAGAATCACAGAATGATACGGGGTTGGAAGGGACCTTTGGAGATCATCTCCTCCAACCCCCTGCCACAGCAGGGTCACCCAGAGCAGGTCCCACAGGAACGTGTCCAGGTGGGTTTGAATGTCTCCAGAGAAGGAGACTCCTCCACCTCTCTGGGCAGCCTCTTCCAGGGCTCTGCCACCCTCACAGGAAAGAAGTTCCTCCTCATGTTTAGGTGGAACTTCTTATGGTCAAGTTTGTGCCCTTTCTCTCTTGTCCTGTCCCTGGGCACCACTGAGAGAAGACTGGCCCCATCCTCCTGACACCCACCCTTTCAGTATTTATAGGTGTTGATCAGATCCCCCCTCAGTTTTCTCTTTTCCAGACTAAAAAGACCCAAGTCCCTCAGCCTTTCCTCATCAGAGAGATGCTCTGGACCTCTCCAAACACTTGACCATGATAAACTGTCCCCAGTCTCCTCACAGCCTGCTCAGGACTATGTCCCACCTACCCAACTCCTGAGAACTCTGGCAGGGCCGTCTCTGAAGAGCTTTTGGGGTGCTGAGGGAAGGGGAAGATGTAGCCCTGCCTGGCCAGGGCCAGCACAGCCAATTTCACACGCCTGTGAGTGCTTCCAACCCACTCACTTAATCTCTTGCTCATCCTCCTCTTGTTCCTTGCGCTTCTGCTCCTCCTCATACTCCTTGTATTGCTTCAGCATGGCCTCAAAGTCCACGTTTGCCTGCCGCTGGTTGAGTTCCTTCAGCTCCTGCAGGTTCTCCAGAACTTCCATCTCCAGCTTGGAATCCTTGGTTCGGTTCTCCAAGACCTGGGTGACCAGAGGGAAGTCAGGCTTAAGAGAGGTAGCAGAGCCTGCCAGCAACCTCCACCACTGCCTCTACCCCAGTATGGGGCATGAAGCACTACGAGGATCAGCATCATCAGGAAAAACTGGAGTGAGATGCAGCCTGTCACAAGTTCCAGCACAGGGGAAACCTCCTGAGGACAGAGAGTTAGCTCCTGCTTGCTCAGAGCCCAGCGATACCTCAGGACCCCAGAGAACTAAGCCAACAGCTACAAAATCACTGCTTTGCTGTGGAAAGCCAGCCAGGACAGGACAGAGGTTTCTCTCCTGCACAGAAGGGCACGTTCTTGTACCTTCATGGGATTGTTGAGCTCTTCTTCTTCCCTCTCCTTCTGCATTCTCTTCTCCTCTTCTTCCAAGAGCTTCTCAGCTTGGAAATTGCGAGTGGCACCGTGCTCCATGGTGTAGTCTGTGTTCTCGGGATCTGTCTAAGGGGGAAACAAGACAACAAAATCATTGTACTGGGACAATTCTGCTCCAGCCATCCTGTGGCCACTTCCAGAGCTGCACGCAAGAGTTTCCTGAGTTCATCCACATCCCAGAGCAGACAATCACCCCCAAAGCCTTTTTTTTGGTTTTGCTCCAGCTGATGTGCTGCAGCCCACGGATGAGCAAGACATTTCAGAACTACAAAAGGCAACGAAAAGGGAAGCACACACTCAGGCCAGGTCTTTGCTGGGACACCCTTTCCCCATGGAGTCAGCACCCAGCCTCCTCCACAGACTCCACCGCCTCCCCAGAAAGTGAGAGTGCAGAAAACACAGGACATATTTCACCTTGAAAGTGATCTCTGCCAGGCAACGCGTGCACTTGATGTAGAAGCGGAAGATGGGAAGCCCCAGGTACACCTCATTCTGAACAGTCTCCTTACGGGCGTTAAACTTCTTCCCCTTATAGATGTACTCACCACACGTCTTGCATCTAGAAAAGGAGACAGAAAAGTCCATAACACATCAAAAAAAAGGGAACAAACAGACCAAGAAACATCCAAATGATTTTCAGGCTGTTTCAGTCCAGGTTCTCAGTGGTGGTTATTTTCTCCTTTGGAAATGCAGTACCCCAAAATCACCCGCAACATCTCTTCCCTCACCCCTTTTCTTCTGCTCTGTGTCACATCTGTCTGTGTCACAGCAGCTCCCCTGCAGTGTAAGGAGGTGAAACAATCCCTAAATAAACTCCTCTCTTCTACTGCTGCTTCCTTCTGACCAGCCCAGCCCCTCTTACCGCATGTTGAAGGGGGCCATGAGCCGCACCACATACTGTCGGTCCTTGGGGAGTTTGAGCTTTGGGATCTTAGCAGGATCGAAGTCCGGCGGGTAGTATTTCTACAGAGACAGAGCAGAGACGTGTGTGTGCTGGGCACAGTCCCCCAGAGCAGTGTGAACTGTGAGGGGCAGGCTCCCAGCTGCCGTACCAGCCTCAGGGATCAGCTCCCTGATCACACAGCAGGAGCCAGCGTGCCCCTATCAATCAGGGCTGGTCTCCAGGTGCCAAAAACCCATCCACCATTCCCCACCAGAGCCAGGCCCTGCTGCGTGGCTGTCTGTCTGTCTGTCTGTCCATCCTTGCCCCCAGGCCCTCCAGTCCTTGCATGATTTTAGGGCCTAACCCTCTTAGCCCCTGGCAGCCCGCTCCAAGCGCTGCCAGGAGAGCCAGCCTGGGGATTCTCACCCCAACCGCCCCCCTACCAGCCTGAGAGTCCCCTCAGGGACCCCCCTAAGCCTTGGGACCCCCCCTAAGCCTTGGGACCCCCCCCCTAAGCCTTAGGCCCCCCCCAACCGCCCAGGGAACCCCCCAGCACCACCGGCCTAGGGACCAAGCTCAGCGATCAGGGAGCCCTCCCCGGAATCAGCCCGGCCTGGGGACTCCCACAGCGATCACAGACCCCTCCTCAGCACCCCCCACCCAGGGGATCCTC